GAAAAGGATCTTGGAGTCATCATTGATGCCAAGATGAACATGGGCCCGCAGTGTGGGGAGGCAGTCAGGAAGGCCAACCGCACCTTGTCGTGCATCCACAGATGCATCTCAAGCAGGTCCAAGGAGGTGACACTCCCCCTCTACGCAGCACTGGTCAGGCCACAGCTCGAGTACTGCGTCCAGCTCTGGGCGCCGCACTTCAGGAGGGATGTGGACAACATGGAGAGGGTCCAGAGGAGGCCACCCGCATGATCAGGGGGCAGCAGGGCAGGCCCTACGAGGAGAGGCGACGGGACCTGAACCTGTTCAGCCTCCACAAGAGAAGGCTGAGGGGGATCTAGTGGCCGGTTACAAACTAGTCAGGGGGGGACCAGCAGGCATTGGGGGAGTCACTGTTCCCCCGAGCACTGCCAGGAGTGACCAGGAATAACGGTCACAAGCTGGCAGAGGGGAGATTCAGGCCAGACATCAGGAGGCGCGACTTCACGGTCAGGGCAGCTAGGATCTGGGACCATCTTCCAAGAGAAGTGGTGCTGGCTCCTACCCTGGGGGGCTTTAAGAGGAGGCTGGATGACCACCTTGCCGGGGTCGTTTGACCCCAGTACTCGTTCCTGCCATGGCAGGGGGTCGGACTTGATGATCCGCTCGGGTCCCTTCCGACCCGACCAGCTATGAAACTGTGACTTTTCTGAAGCTTCAGACGAAGCCGGGAAGACTTGCTCGCTGCTTAGGCGGGCGGACAGTCAGGGCACTGCTACATGTTGCAATTGAAGTGGGACAGCGGCTAGAGTGCTGTTACACATTTTCAAGCAGTAACTTTAGAGCAGCTTGGCTCTTTTTACAGCTGGAGAGTCTTTTTTTTATCCTGTGGTAATGACTTTGCATGTGTGGCCAGTCGAAATGCATTGTGAGAGTCACCAGTAAATGGCATGATTGTTACTTTGCACATGCTCTGGTCTTACTTTGCACTTGTGGCTGGTCCAAATTTATCATGTGGTTCACCAGGGAATGGTGCCATCTGTACTTTGCGCTTGTGGCTAGTCATGATTTACAGCACAATTCACTAGTGAGTGGTGTGATCATTACTTGGCGCTTGTGGCTAGTTAAATTGTATTGAGTGATTCACCAGGGAGTGCTGTGATCATTACTTTGCACGTGTGGCTAGTCACAATTTATTGCACAGTTCACTAGTGCATGGTGCCATCTCTACTTTGCACGTACAGCTGGTCACAGTTTATTGCACGGTTCACCAGTGAATGCCGTGATCATTACTTCAGGTATCCAGGTTGTAGCCATATTGGTCTAAAGGGAAAAGCAACCAGGACTCGTGGCAGAGGTGATATCTTTTATTAGACCAACTAGATTTTTTTCAAAAATAATAATAATAAAAGAAATCTTTAATTTTTTTTGCAAAAATCTAGTCTAATAAAAGCTATCCCCTTTGGCACGTGAACATTACTTTGCACGCGTGGCTGGCTGAAATGTATGAAGGGATTCACCAGGGAGTGCTGCCGTGGGCATTGCTGCGGGGGTGTTGGCACAGGCAGGCAGATGCGGCATCTTTTACTAGACCAGCTAGATAGCTGCGGGGAAACTTGTTCTTTGTAAGCTGCCCGGTACAAGCGCCCTCCTTCGGGCAGAGAAAGTCAGGCACATTACAGAGAAGTCGGCACATCTGCCGAGAGACTTTGCACGGTGGCTGATTCAAGTGTGTGAACCAACTCGCGACCGCATCTGGGCCGCGCCGGCGAGTGGGGGGTGGGAGGAGCCGGGCTGTGGGCGGCGCCTGCGGCCGCCCCGCCCCGCCTACAA